ATCTCGTTCTCTCCCGTTTCGTTCTGCCTTCCTTTCTTGCCCCTCCGCTTTCGAATTGCCCCTTTTCTACCCTTTCTGTTCCACCTCCTTTTTCCAATAGACAGATCAGTTCACCTTTTTAAAATCGGCAATCAAACATACACTAAGTGTATGTTAACAAGCAAAGTGACGGGACTGAAAACTTTGTATGTCTGCGTGTTGCGTTAGTTTTTAAACAACTTTTAAAGATCGGGAAAGACAATTATCCGGATGTAATTAACGTGGTTGCACTAGTGTCTCGATATGGACTACCGTTGCTGTTGATATTGAAGTGAAAAAACGAAAGGTTAAGAAATCTAACAGTGCTTTCAGACTTTAAATAAACTGGAAGACGCATGTTCATTATTTTTCCCATTTCCATTTAAAGGACAGGAAGAATCGAATTAACTATACAATAAAGACTTGTATTTTTTTACGCCGAACGCTCGATCAACGGGGTCAATTATTCGCGCTTTATTTTATCCACAGTTTTACTCTTAAATTCAATTTAACCGTTGAAAAAATGACAAGTTACACGGAGGAAGGCGCGGTTAGCGTCGCAATTTCAGGGTGATCATGAGCTGTGCATCTCGAATCGGAGATTAATCGATCCGGACACTTCCGGTGGCTTAAGCGTGAACGTAAATGGAAGTCTGCGTTCGATTTCCTTCGATTCCCTAATGCGTCACCTTCGATCAGGGAAATCGTAAAAACCGAAATCGCTGATCGAGGATCGTCCGATTAACATGCGAACATCAATTAATTCTTTTCTGCGTCAAACGCAACGTCGGTCGCTGGACTATGGTCATTTGCCTTTCAAATACGGTAACAAGTTCTTTTCTGTAGTCAAAACAAACAAAAATTTTATAGGAATAATTAATTAAATGTTTAGACCATAACGTGGTACGATTTTTGTTTATGTTTATTAATTATTAACTTGGCTATAATAAAATTATCAATTAAATTAACTAAATAAAATTATCATTAACAATTTGATTATTTTCTCGATTTAATTATTTTACGATAGAATAAGTACAATATTATATAGGTACGTATTTGAATTGTATCAAATTCTATTTTGATATTACTCTCGTTCTTTCAGATTTGTTTCTTATTTAATGCTTTCTGTTTTACATTTAATATTTTCTAAATACGTATACAAGCAAATGATACATACTTTAGTCAATAAAATGTGCACCTGAATCAAGAACCAAACTTTTCTTTCTCTTTGGAAAATTCAGCATATTATACAATCTAATAATTTCAGAAATTTGTTTAGTACAGTTCAGAAAAAAGATCGATTGCTACTGGTTAATGGAAATCGCTACTAGCATTATAACCAGGGCAGCTATAGTAATTTTTCTTTGTCATTATTATCGTGCCTCGCGTTTTTGAGCGGCGGTCCCAGCTGCAGCTGGCATTTACCCGCACGGACTCCTTTTTTTCCCCCGAAACCGTTCTACTTCACTCTACTTTTTCACGGTGGTCTACTTTCACGCGTTAATCCTGCGATTTACAAGCGTTCGCCCGCGAAATTCGCATACCGCGAGTCACGTCGCGAATACCTCGCTAATGATCTAGCCGCACATCGTGGATAATCGAATAACGATCGCCCGGCAGGTAATCTGTATACCGATATCCTTTCGTGACATCAGTATTCTTTTTCTTAAAGAACATATATTGAACAGGATCGGTAAAATTTGTATGAATTTGTGAAACTTTTTCAAACACTTGAGAAGTCGGAAAATAAGTGATCACATATTTCATATTGGTAAATGAATTATTTTTTTAAAATAAATATGTACTTTTTTCTCAAATGTACTAAAACAATTTCCTATTACATGTTACGTAAAGTGAAGATATCAAGCTTTGTCGGTCCTCTAAAGGATGACAAAAGTCGACGAAAGTGAATGAAAGCGATAAGAATTAATTATCGTCGTGTGAAATTGTACAAGAATAATCTTCCGTGCCGCGGGTATATTAAAACGACGTAAATCACTGTCAAATTAACATAAATAAGGACAGACGTTTCGTTATATGCAAATGGCGCGTCGAGATTGACGCGAAATAATTGTAACCTTCTGGTGTGGTGTCCTTTCATTTTCCCTTTCGATATTTTCTATTTTTCTCCTTCTCTTTGATCTGTTTTCGCTGTTGTTGCCTGTTACAGGAATGACGGCCGAATTTATCGAGCAAACGAAGATCACGTGAAGGAGCGGGGAGAGCGGGGAGGGACGATTGCGTGCGCCGATGGAATTCAGCCATGGCGCGCAGAAAAATCAAATGAAACCGCCGCTTTTAAGTCGAATTAAAACGAATGCGCTTAATTAAAGCGGCCCGGCCGGCGAACCAAGGCAGTTTTATTGACGGTGTTACTTACGTGTGCCCTCTCATTAACTTGAGGAATATCTACGTTCTCTGTTTTTACTGTAATTAATGATACATGCTTTAGAGGGTTCGTCGCTCTCCTCGCCACTCTTACGTGCCGCGATTTCTTTGACCTGCCAGCGAAATTTTGAATGGTCGGCACGTGAATACTACCAACTGGGAATACTTTGAATACATTGTACTTACTTGTATAACTATATCAAAGTTGTTTATATTCCTGGTTGTTCGAGTATCTTGTGGGTTCTATTCTTTTTTGCACGAGATACTCGAGTACGTCGAATACTTTAAATACATTACATGGGCACTTTGATTACTTGAGAATCTAAGTTCTGTAAATGTTTTGAATTCTTTATAACTCTTTACGATACAAACCTGAATTAAATTAACATTCCATAATAATAAGTATATAAATGAACAATAAATAAGTACACCGAATTTCTAATAATTCAAGTATTCCATGCTCCAATCACTCTAAATCCTTGTTCCACCAGGCACCGCAGGACTTCACCGTGTCAAGGATGAAACCACTGTCCCCTTCGGATCGTGTCCTCGACTACCAAGATCGTGACACCTATCGCTTATAAATTATCGCGACAAATCGCCGATAAGATCAGACGAGAGCGAACGATCTGCTAATTATCACTGCGGCGAGCACAATTCGTTCCTCGATGGATCGAAGATACTCTAGACTCTAGACTCTAGAGTCCAGACACTCTGCATACTGTTTGCCGACAGTTTTCCATTCCAGTGGATTCCAATAATTCTTTACACACTGTTTCTGAACTTGAATTTTATTGTTATTTATTATCGAATTTTATCTCACAAGATAACATCCATTACACTGGAAGTCTTGCCCTGAAGTGTAGTCTAAACTAGATCTAAGGACGTTGGAAAGTCCCAAGACCTAAGTTGAACAGACTATAAAACAGCATGATCATCTAGTGATGTTCAGTGATCCAATTATTACATTATTTATTAATCAACGGTCAAACACGATTGTCATTGCTCCTTTAGATGACATGTTATTTCTCTTAGCTATAGCTACAGCTTTGGACAGACTACAGGCTACTTGAATATGCGCGATCTCGTAATCCATCGGCTGAAAAAAGGAAAAAAAGTGTAACCGAACGAACGAACGTACGAACCTGTCACAAAAGAAGCTAACGGAACTGCCGGCGTTCGCCGGGCAAAGATTGAGCGTTAACGGTTGTCCGCTGTCGGAGATTTCACCGCGCTAAATACACACCCGGCGTTCGTTCGTTCGTTGCACGCGTCTCTCGAGCTCGGCAACGAAGGAATCCTATGTACTATGGCCGTCAATTTGTCCCGACGCGGGATAGTAATGCGGATATAGTCCTCGTTGATCCAATAACGAGTGCGCCTGAAAATGGAGCATCGTTGCTGACGACACGCTCGTCGTTACTGATAAGTAGACTGCGGATTATCGCGCAAAATATTGAGTTTTATTCACTGATCCGGAGAAACTGGATTCTAACTGAAAACCTGTTCACTGTATTAACGATCCTATTAAACTCCGGGAAAAAGAAACATTCTCGCGCGATTTTTATTTCGCGGTACGCGCTACGGATGCTGAACAATCGTGAGCGCTTTAGTCCCGTGGAATTCGGATGTTCGCGGAAATTTTTAACGGCGTGCATTGTGTTCTAAGGGAACTGATGGTGAAAAAGGATTCCTTTCCATAGGTAGGCGATTTATTTAGGGAAATGTAAAATTATTATTATCCTTACGTACGATAGTTTGTCACATCTTGTTTGTAACAGGGTGTAAGTTCGTAGAATTCATGATATACTGAGAGAATATCAAGAATATCGTTAATAATACATATAATTACTAAAATTTAATTGTTCAAATTGATACATTAAGTAGCTATAGTAATTCAAGTTTAATATTCTAATCGCAATCATTTAACATTACTTATCTATTCTCTGCAAGGTGCCCCTTTATTTCGCATTATTTTGAATTCTTTGGAACGATATTAATATAGTAAAGGAAATGTTGCTTTGCTTCAATTTCTCAACCCTCGACCAGGAAACTACAGTATTGCGTGAACGTGCCCAATGTCTGCGTATGAAAATAATCGAGATAATAATCCCGGCGGTGTCCGCGGTGAAAAGAATCAGCCGGCCAGGAATAAGAGAGGCAGACACTGGTCCTGAACGCATCGGAAGAGGATCGGTAGAAGGACAAGAGGGGAGAGAACCCTGCCCGGTTCACTGTGGGAATTTGTAATTGCGCGACAATATCCCGGCGACGGTCGAAGGGGGACGTTTCGATGGAGGGACAGAAAAGCTGATTGTCTATTTAAGAAACGAGGAGGCAAATATTCTCTTCGGGGCGGATTGGTTATCGAGAGGAGCACGATAAGGCTTAGCGATCGTGTAGTTTCCCTTCGACGTTCAGATCGTCTCCGGAGTTGGTTTACAGGGGGATAAAGTTTCTGGAATCACTCCGGCACGGTATAATTGGTGTATTTAGACTCTTATCGAGGTACCTGAAGATGTTAGATGAGCATCAATGCTTGTCCAAAACATATGAAGCATAGTTTTCTTTTGGGATAGGGATGTTACTCGGAAGTAATATAAATGTCTTCCTTCTTGTATTATAATTTGTTATTACCTGTTATTACCTGTAGTATATAAGCTAGGACTATACCTGACAAAAAGCTTTACCAAAATTGAACTGTAACAAGTTAGGACTGCTTAACAAAAGTTTTATCAAGATTGAACCATTGCAAGCTATAACTACCCACGAAAAACATCACGAATATTAAACTATTAGAAGCTGGAACTACCTAACATAAACTTCGCCAGGATTTGACGATTACAAGCTAGAACAATTTAACAAAAAGTTTCTCCAAGATTCAGCTATTATAAGCTAAAACTACCTAACAAAAGCCTCAGCAAAAACTTAAGAAGTTTTGAAACCAAAAGAAGCTGAGGACGGCCGATCCCAAAAATCCTCTCACCGAGGATTGCGAAAAGTCATACGACCCGGTGATTTAGCGTTGCGCCGTCGAGGAACAATGAGGCTGCCACGTCGAAAACCGCGGTTATTTAATACAGATATTTTTCATAAGTCGCATTGTGTGCAAAACAGCGAGTGCGCGCGCTCGCGGGGTGATGGGTTCTCGCGCGCGGGATATGTCCGTAATTCGCAATGCGCGTGTAGCCCCGCGAGGCGCGCCGCGCGTTAATAAATCTCGGCCGGCTGGCGAAAAGAGCGGGGACGGAACAGCGCAGGACGGACGGGAAAGAAGAAAAAGGAGGAACAGGATCACGTGGGAGGGGGAAGGGGAACGGACCGACAAGGAGAAGGAAGGCTTGACCGGCGGATGCCGCACACGAAGGGCGCGCGAAGTGGTCCGCGCGCTGGTTCGCGTTTACCCGATCCGATCGGTTCATTAACGACTGACGGCGCTGCTCGCGACGTGGTGGGCGCCTAACGCGACGTTAATGCTACGTTTCCACGTGTGAGCAATTATCGAGGTCCTCTTTGTAGTGGGATCGTCGCTGATGGGATACAAAGGCAAACATTGATCTTTGTATGATCATGTTTACATTCTTTTATGTTTTTCTTTCTACATTAGAAGCTTCGATACAAACCTATTAATTTTGTATTAACCCTTAGCTATTACAGAAGGCTGAAGACCACTAGAGTTTGTTCGATTACTAAAATTAATGGATTAATATAATAAATATTGGGGGGCGCGGGATCTTTTAGTTGCGTAAGTTTAAATGTCTGTAATAGTTAACTACTTAAAATTTAACTTTATGTTTATTTTCATGACATACACCATGGTGCATTAGGTGCACCATTTCGATACTTTGTACAATGTTGGTACCATAAAGGTGTTTATAGAGAGATATCTCCTTTTATGAAAGAGGCCTAAGTAACCTAACCAAGACCTTTTCCGTAAATCTTCGCATCTTCCTCGCTCTGAGTACAAATAGACGTCGCAAAAACATCCTTAAATGAAAATGGACCTAAAAACAAACCAAAAAACCAGAATAGCGAATCGTAAAAATGAATATTCAGTCGCGTTCTGAAATATCAACGATGGACGGTCGGCAATCCGCTCGCGAGAGACCATTCCGCGGAAATTCTTCTCGCGCGTCGTCAAACGCTCGAACCATTAACCTTTAACCGGGAAAATCCCGCGCGTCAAAGGGGGATTCGAAACGAGGGCCAGTAAAAAATGAATGGTCTTTTTCCAGGTCAAAGTTCAACGACGGCGGAGAACCGCCGCCGCCGCCGCTGCCGCCGTGGCAGCCGGTTTTTCGCGGGGCCGGCCGGCCGGGCCGCGCGCAACTAGGTCGTCGCTCGATAACGTTTACCCAATAAATTCAGGAATCATGGGAAACGGCCAATTCTCAACATCCGGTGACTCTTCCAATTACGTCGCATTGTATGTCTCGGTGTATCCTACTCTCCGGGTTTCGTACGCGTCGCTCGAAGGAACAAAGGGCCCGCCAGAAGAATGAGACGGGAGGAAGCAGGACGGAGAAGCAGGACGGTAAAAAGAGAAGAACCAAGTTCTGTGTTTTTTTTCCTCCGTTTTTTTCGATCGTCCACGTATTAGAGGGCTACGATTGAAAAAGGGGGATCGACGCGGGGAACGGCTAGGATCACCGAGGCTAACTTTTCACGCGTCTCTAAATAAGGGTTCGACACACCTTGCGACACATGTCACTCACTGCGAATATGCGGATCATCAGTCCGATGGTAGGGCGACAACGCTAAGACAACGCTTTTCTCACGCCGGGAATCGGGTTCGGGCGTTCGTCACGGAGCCCTGATTCTTGTAAAGAAATGTCGGCTTCCTGGGTCGAGTAGGTCGGTGATCTATTTATCGATTGTGACAGTAGCATTTGATGCATCCTTTAATGTATAAGTCGGTAGAATTGTGATTGTAATGAGGTTTGACAGTGTTTATATGTTATGATCGCGAGGAAAGGTTTTGGTACACTTAGCGGATTGGGAGTTTAGTAATGATAGGAAGAATAAATATACGGTTATACGGTTATTGTTCAAACGAATAACAGATAATGAGCAATAATTTTGGCTCAGATAATTGTTCCATCAATATTTTATTCTATGAAAATATCAAACATGTCATTGGTAAAACGGAACAGTCTGTCATGCGGTCGCAACGCGTGCTTAACACGTTCGCTACCAGCGTTTATTTCGGTGAGGACCTCCTCAATTTAACATTTTATTCAATCCAATAAATCTCGTAAACAAAATATCGAAAAAATGAAACTGGAACAAGTTATTGAGTTCCTGAATATAATGCCATAGCTTATATCTTTAAATAACAATATCTACAAGATTAATTGCATTTGCTTCATAAAAATATAAGATTGCGCCTGTCACAAATATGTGACGCTGGTAGCGAACGT